TCTCTCTCTCTCTCTCTCTCTCTCTCTCTCTCTCTCTCTCTCTCTCTGTCTTTTGGAGGCTGTTTTAGGCATCTCTTATGGTCTTGTGGTCTGGCTTTGGCTTCTGACAGGATCTTTGCCAGGTCTTGAGTCTGTTGCTTCTGTCCTCTCATCTGCTTCTTTTCTGTAGTCTCTCTTTTATTAAATACTCTTTTTGTCACTATCACTAAGTCCCTTAGACTCTTTTCTTCACTTCTCAACCCTCTGGGCTTTTTCTTAATATCTGGTCTTACCTGGTTGATAAAAGCTAAAGTGACTGCTATCTTTGGTTCTGGTAATTTAAGGTCCATTGGGGTGTATTGTCGAAATGCCTTCATGACCCTTTCTTAAAAAGCTGTAGGGCTTTTACTGTCTAATATCGTATACTATGGCAAAATTTGTGGGCCATCTTGTGGCCTCCTTGAGACCTGCCAGCAGAGCCTGACAGTAGACTAAGAGCCTCCTCTTACCTTCAACTGTGTTAAAATGTCAATCTGAGCGAGTCAGAGGAAAGCAAGCATACTGTGGGAGTGGCTCCCCTACAAGGCCAGGAACCAGTTTCCTGGCCTCTTTCGTAGTGAAGGGAACCTGTAGAATGTGGTAGATGTAGCCTGTCTCATGTTAATAAGTCCATCAAAGTCACTTCATCAAAGTTAGTCATCTTGTAATGAGAACCATAACAACATATAAGAGCACAAATAAAACCTTCCCTGTCTTTTGAGCGGAAACAAGAAACAACCAGAAAGTGACACTCATGAAAAAGACCTCTATGCCACCCAAAACACAAATTCAACCTTTTCTCCCTATCAGGCTGAAATAAGAAATAGCCAGAAAGTGGCACACACCCACAAGAAAATAACTAGATTGGTGGCATCTCTCAGCTCCCCTGAGCCCACGCCCACCCCAGATGGAGACTTAGGCTGTCTCCTGGCCCCACCATAGCCACAGCTCCCAGATACGTCTATTCATAACTGCAACCAGCCACGGAAACAAATTCAAGGCCTTGTACCCAGAAGGATGTGACACCATTTAGAATCAGTGAACAGAAAAAGGCACAACCAGAAACAAAAATCAACCAAACCCAGAAAAAAAATACAGCTTGTAGTAACAAGAACCAACCAGAAGGTGGCGCTTACACACAACTCTCAGTACTGTACAAATGTTTACTCAGACCTGGAGAAATTACCATGGCAACTTAAGTCATTTATCTTTATATCAAGTTTTCTTGCACTCTGTAGATCGCACAGAAAGTTTCTAACATTCAGACAAATTAGTGCCTTTGCGCCACTGCACAAGTACTCACCTGCTCAGACCACATAGGAAGCTTCTGACACTCAGGCAGATTCCTCAGCATGGCTCTGGATCAAACCTAGAATTACCATGGCAACACAAGCCACCAGGTTCCACACAAATCATCTCAGCACAGCTGGAAGAGTTACTGCATTTACCTTTACACAAGCTTGCTTCTGTTCCGCTCTGCAGTTCTCTCAGAAAACTCGGACAAATTCTGTGCTCACACAGTCAAGAAGCAGAAAGTTTAACACAATAATAGAAACATAAAAACACATATACCTAGACTAGTTATGCCGGCTTCAAGACCCCCCAGATTAATAGTCCCATGTATCATGGGGAACTTCCCAGCTAGTGGGCCAAAATGTAGTGCCAGGAAAATATTAGTGGTTCCCATAAAAACAGACAGGAGCTGATCTGATGCAACTCACAGCAGGGTCTTTATTCTATTCAAGCTAGCTCTGGCCTCCCAAATGCACCACCGTCATTCAGGATGGTTTTGGTGGTGGGGAAACCCCAAATGTCTTTTAGTAAGCAGCAAGCAGGAAGTGTGTGTGTTAGCATCTAATTGGAAAGTTACTGTGGCCTTTAACATAACTGTATGGTACTGAGAGTCATACCATAAATTTAACTTCTGTTCCCCTCTGTATTGGTGGTCATTAGGCAGGGGGTGGGCTTGTAACCTAGGAGTGCAGGTTTGTTGGGGGAATAACCTGAAGACACTGGTCTTGTTGCAGGTATAACCTGGAAATGCTGGTCTTGTTGAGGATTAGCCTAGAGACTGGAGGTAGACTCAGGTTTGTTGGGGGGCAACTTGGAAACTAATGTTAGGTACCAACCTGTTAGTTTATCTGAGTTCAAACTTGGGTCATGTTCTCTAAAATGGAGTCTGAATTTAAAAGATTTGGCATCAGCTGGGCAGTGGTGGTGCACGCCTTTAATCCCAGCACTTGGGAGGCAGAGGCAGGTGGATTTCTGAGTTCGAGGCCAGCCTGGTCTACAGAGTGAGTTCCAGGACACCCAGGGCTACACAGAGAAACCTTGTCTCGAAAAAAAAAAAAAACCTAAAAAAAAAAAAATTGGGGGCTGGAGAGATGGCTCAGCGGTTAAGAGCATGGACTGCTCTTCCAGAGGTCCTGAGTTCAATTCCCAGCAACCACATGGTGGCTCACAACCATCTGTAATGGGATCTGATGCCCTGACAGCTATGGTGTACTCATATACATAAAATAAATAAAAAAATCTTTAAAAAAATTTGGCATTTCAGTATGTCACTAAAATACCCATAAATTTATGGGAAAGGGATTTTTTTTTTTTTACAACAGTAGAGTACTTGGATTAACCTTGCTGCAATCCCAGAGACAGCCCATAATGAAATAAGGGGTAAAATGATAGATATACCTGGGGAAGGTATTGATATAGGTCATCAAAAAGCAAAAATAAACAAACAAAACAAAGCATGCTTTGCCAAGTGTTCAAACACACGACATAACAGAGATTGAGTTTCTAAATTTATATAATGGGGGCCATTTGAAGTATCAACAGGCATCCCCTTAAAATACTTGACTGACAAGCCTGTGTGGTAGAACAATGGCCCTTAACTAAGGAAAAGTTGCAGGCACTTGAGATTTAAGAGTGGTGAATAGAATTAACCAATGGATTTGTTATAGCCTGAAATTCCTTTTACCTACTTTATTACCTAAGTCCTGGCCTATGATAGTAAGTGATTTGAATGATTACTTTTTTTACTATCCCCTTGTATGAACAGGATAGGGAAAGGTTTGCTTTCCTTTTACAGTGCCTACTTAATAACAATGCTCAACCTGTAAAATAATATCAGTGGAAAGTCCTTCCATGGGGAATGTTACACAGTCCTACTTTATGTCAATATTTTGTGCAACAACCACTAGAAGTAATCAGTAGGCAATTTTCTCAATCTTTTATTCATCAATAGATGAGTGATATTTTGTTGGCTGATTCTGATGCAGATATTTAAGAGAAAATGTTTAAGAAAACACAAAGAACCCCCCATGTTGGAGGTTACAGATTGGTCCTGAAAAACTACAGAGAAGAGATCCTATTAACTACTTGGGTTATAAAACAAGTCAACTAAAAATTCAACCACAAATGTACAGATCAGAAGAGATCAGTTGCAAGTTCTTAACGATTTTCAAAAATTAATGCGAGATATTAATGGGCTATATACTACCACTGGATTAACTAATCAAGAGTTAAGTGATTTGTCTCCAATGTTACAGGGAGATTTGAACTGAAACAGACTAGAATGGTCAACAGCTGAGGCAGAGAGAGAGCACTCACTCTGGTGGAACAGAGACTGCAAGACACATGTGGATTGCATAGATCCCAAACTTGATTATATTTTGGTTATTTTCCCTTTAACTCATTCTCCTCCTGGGCTCATTATGCTAAGAGAAGATAGATTTTCTTAGCACACAAAGTAAAACATTAAAGAATTACATAGAATACATTTCTGAGTTAATCATAAAAAGTAGGGTAAGACTGTCAGTTGTCAAGAAGAGACAGAAACCTTGGTATCTTATATACCAACAATACTGAGATTGTGTCATTATGGGTAATCAATGAAGACTGGCAAAGAGCCTGTAGCAATTATTTTGGAGAAATTAACAGTAAATATCCTAAAAGCAAACATCTTCAGGGTATAAAATAACTAATAGGATTGTCTCAGGTATTTTAAAAGGGAGCGGCCATTTCTGAATCACCTACAGTCTATAGTGGTGCAAATAAGTTGGGAATGCCAAGC